CATCCTCTCCCTCACTTTATCCTCTTGCCTTACTGCCTGGCTTCCTTCAGACTGCTTATTGGTCCATGTCAGTACGAACCCAGAAAAGGTGAGCTTTTGCCTTAGCCATTGTTACTACAGGCCCACCCTCAGGCAGCTACCCACACCAGCTGAATGAATGAATGAATGAAGGAAGGAAATCTAATCGAAGTTTGTTTAAATTCAACTCTCACTTGAAATACTAAGCCATGAAAACAGGGAATAATTAAAAAAGATGCCTAACTAGAGGGTATTTTCTACTACTAGTTAGTTTACCGGGCTTACTACTTATATATTTTTATTTAATTTTATGCTAGCATTCAAAGTTTTGGGATTTGTGATGTCATCTTAACATATAGGTGATGCTACACACCATCCTAATTCATTCTTTTCTCCACTGTACTTCTTGTTTCCCTTGTCCCCTTCTTGCAGATCTCCTTCTTTTTCCTGAATAGTCCTTCATTTTGTTTCTATGCCACATGGGTTCCATTACCCCCCACCCCCTTCACCCTCTGTCCTGCAGAAAAGTAGACGAAGCTGGAAAGCATTGTGTAAACTAAAACAGGTCAGATCGAAACAGACAGAAAGCACAAACCGTCATTCACAAATATAAACATGAGCATGTGTGCACACACAGGCGAACATGTACGCACACAACACGAAACAAGTTGACCAATATTTAGAGTATTGCTGGGTCATGTCAATGTTCACCATGTATTCTTCACAAAATGATTACAGCCGCACCATAGAAAATTTGGAAAATTTCATAACCTCACTGCTGTATCAGTAAAGGAATCTGAGAGTTTCCCTTTCTGTAGTTTCCAGTGTTTGTTTTGCAGATGGCCTCGTGCTAGCTAGGACTCTCAGATTTTTAAACTCTGAGCTGAAGTTGGCTTAGAGGATGACTTATGGGATCCATTGGAAAATCAATAAAAAAGTATATGCAATTGAATAACTGAACTCTTCACTTCCAGCACATTTTATGAAATGATTTCCAGATACATTTGAGAGTCCTATTTTTTCAAAAAGTGTGTGCGCGCACATGTGCGTGCTCATGCACGTGCATGAACACGCATGTATGTGTATGCCCTGCATGTGCACATGGAGGCTAGGGAGGATGGGAAGTTATCCCCTTGAGACAGGGCCCCTCCCAGAACTTAGAGCTTGCATGCTTTTTCTGGCCAGCAAGTACCCCCCACCCCCCAATTCTCCTGTTTCCCGTCTTTTTCTCTCAGGGCTGGAGTGTATGACCACACCTAAACTTTTACATGGGTACTGGGGATCTGAACTCAGGTTCTCATGCTTGCACAGCGAGAGCTCCCACCCACTGAACCCCACCCCCACTGTCAGCCCCTGAGATATCCATCCTTCCTGATTCTTGGGTCAATTGACAATATTGGTGTCCTGCAGCCATTTCCTCTGAACTGAAACACTCCCTCTAACAAGGAGGCAGGGCACTCATGAGACTCAGAGGTAAACACATGCCACTCATCACAGGAATCCCTCCTCAAGGTTAGGGAAGCAGGAAACAGCTCACAATTATGGGAAGAGTAAGCAACTGCTGGGTGAGGAGACCGAGGGCAGGGCAGCTGCCTGGAAGAGGTCCCTGAACTGTCCAGTTGCCTGGAAGTTGTCTTGATAGCTCCAGAAGTGCAGATTTTGTGAGTCATTCCCCCATGCTGGGCTGGACTGGGCTTTTCAGTGATACAACTGCCCCCGAGTCATCCCTGCTCTGATAAGTAACCACTCACCCATATTCCAGGAGGAACTCCAAAAATCTCATGGGTTCGCTAAGTTAGACTTGCAGTTGCTGAGATCTGTTGTGAGTTCCCAGTGTGGGTGAGTAGACACATGTGTGTCGTGTCTCACTAGTAAAAGTACAACACAAGAATAATTTATGAGGGTACAAAGGGCTTGAAACAATGTAAGACATGAAGACATGGTGACGGGAGAGGGTAATGAGAGCGAGTTAACATCTCTTGAGGATTTGTGTTTTTATCATGGTTCGAATTCACATTATCTCATGCATTTAATACCCCAACAGTATTACCCACACTTTGAGATATAGTTATAATTCCATGCTCAGCTACCTTTGTGGCTTTAGGTAAGTTTCCTAACTCCCATGTGAGTGATTATCATTGTTATTATTATTACTGTTATAATATGATCTTATGTATTGCTAATGTTATTATTAATTATTATCATCATCATTTAGATAAGGTCTTTTGTAGCTCAGTTATGTAGCAAAGCTGGCCTTGAACTCCTAATCTTCCTGTCTCTATCTCCCAAGTGCTGAGCTAGGGGCAAGTATCACCATGCCCAAGTGAAGTATTTGCACGTGTGCATGTGTAAGAGTATACTTACATCTTTATAGGTATGTGTGCATAGTCAGAGTTTTAATGTTCTTTCTCTCTCTGCCCGCCTGCTTGTCTGTCTGTCTCATTCTGTCTTTCGTTCTCTCTACCATCACAGAGGTAATAACAATTTGGAGAGTCTGTTCCCCACCTGAGGTCCTCTGAAGCCTGGAGGCTCTGAAGGAGACCCTCTGAAGCTCCAGCTGACCTGGGGTTTATAGCCATCGAGGAAATCTGATCAACAAGCAGAATGAGAAGGCAGTGCTAACTGCAAAGATGAAACTAAAACCAAGTTCTTGTGCCCAGCGACAGAGGGCTAGACTGGTCCTTTCCACTAAGCTGGTTAACTTACTGAGTGTATGTTGTATGTCAAACTGCATCTGCCCATGGAGACACAGCTGTGACCCTGGCATCCCACACTCTTGACTCCTGATGGCTGATGTGGTCCTGGCAGATGCCGGTCCCCACAGCCTTCTGCCTCTTCCCTTAAAAAGCGTAATTTCTCCTTCAATCATCTGCAGCTCCTTTATGAAGCCAGGAAGCCATGTGGGCAATAGTCCTCCTATTCTAGTTAGATGTAGTAACAATAATCAGTGTTACAGTGGAAACTGCATCCCTGAGGTTTTACAGACAGAGATGCCAATGCTGCAGTAGGGAAAGGAGGAGGCAGGTAGAGCCGTTTAGCGGCATCAGAACAGGCTAGGGTTGTGAGCACAGTATTTAAGTAAGCACTTGCGGTCAGGCCTCTGCTAGGGAGTGGATGTGGAGAGAGTCTCATGGTGAAGTGTGTTGATGAAGGTTAATACCAGGCAGGGGTTGGGGACTGTGAAGAAAGTGTGCCTTTGGAGAAAAGTGACAACATGAAGGATTCTTCACCCCTGGAGGGAAGATGTGTTCTGCTGTTTAGCCTCTTTCAGGTAGAAGTGGAGAATTTATCTCACCTCAGGGACTCAGGGCCCCAGGAAGCTCAGGTCTTAGCCTAGTTTGAAAAATTACAGTGTCACATCCCCCCTGTGTCCCTTGTCATCAGGGCAGGGGGTATGGTGTGTGTGTCATTTTCTACGTGTATTTCAGACTGGCAATGTGTGCTGTGGTAAAACATTTCAAACATACTGCAGAAAAGGTCTATAATGAAAATGGATGAGGTGACTTGCCACAGGGGAGTATGCTGGATAGTTTTATGTCAACTTGCCGCAAGATCGTCATCTGAGAGGAGAGAGCCTCAATTAAGAAAATGCCTCCATAACATTCGGCTGTAAGTAAACCTGTAGGTCATTTTCTTAATTAGTGATTGATGGGGGGAGGGTTTGGCCTATTGTGGGTGGTGTTATCCCTAGGCTGGTGGTCCTGGGTTCCATAAGAAAGGGGTCTGAGCAAGCCACGTGGAGCAAGCCAGTAAGCAGCATCCCTCTATGGCCTCTGCATCAGCTCCTGCCTCTGTATCAGCTCGTCCCTCCAGGTTCCTGCCCTATGTGAGTTCTTGTCCTGACTTCATAGATGATGCACAATAATATGGAAGCAGCAGAATAAACCTTTTCCTCACCAAGTTGCTTTGGTCATGGCGTCTGATCATGGCAATAGTAACCCAAGCTAATAAAGGAATAAGGCCCAGTGCAAACAGCTGAATCAGAGAGGCGAACCAGCACTCAGAAGCACAAGCTACCTTTATATATTGGGACCCACAAAAATCACAGCAAACTACTGGCCCACCCCACTTATAGGAGCACTTCATTATTGGGGTGGACCCAAGATATCAAATATCTCAAGATCTGGTTCCTCCAATAACACCAACTGGAATCATATACAGATCTGACACAGACTCCTAAAGAGTTGAACGAGACTGGAAGCAGCAGTTCGCTGTCTCACACACAACCCTTGGACAGAAAGTGTCATCGGAGTAAGAGAAAGCAAAGGGAGAGGAGAAAGAGAAAGCAGAAGAAAGGGAAGTCAAGAGAGAGTCAGGAAAGAACGCTATGCAAGCAGGCTCAACATCAAATACCTGAGTCTTAGGGACCAGGAGCAAAGACTTGGTACTGTGTGAACCATTGTGGCCACTTATTTAAAGGGGATAATACAGCAAGCAAACGATGACCAAACAGCTGTTGACATACCCACAGAGAAGTTCCATCTCTGTAAATGTCATTTAAATCTCTGATGTATGGTTATAATCATTCCATCTCATATTTCTTCCTATTGTGGACAGAGACATCAAGGTTCCAAAAGAGAAAAAAAAATCTGCTGAGAAAATCCTATTGGGTTGTGGCTTTTTAATATCTACTTTGGGAAACCCCAGAGCTCACACAAGCATGCACAATTACATTTGCCCCAGAGCAGGGTGTACATCTTTTCATGTGTGTGTGCGTGCATGTATGTACATGTATCACACATGAGTGGTGTGTGTGTGTGTGTGTGTGTGTGTGTGTGTGTGTGTGATTGATTTAGGTAGCACCATGTCCTTTCTTATCCAATATTGATGCTTTTAGCACCCTCTACTACATCCCCTCTTCCCTCCAGTATCAGCAGGTGTTAAGTGCTCAGACCCTGGTAAAGTGGTTCAGACAGCAAAATGCAGAGCCAGGAGCGAATATGTGTGCCTTGCTGGGCCTGTGGATAACTGCAGCCTCTTACCTTTATCATAGATTTCCTTCAAGACCCCTCGTTTGATCAGCTCCTCTCTGCTCTGCCTCATCGATATCTTCCTTTCTAGAGCTGCAAGCAGGAGACAGAGAGGCAGTGTCAATGGTAACAGTTGTCTTTTTCCTCAACCCCGGAGGATCCATCTGTTAACAGATACTATCATCTAATGAAAGTGCCTGTGAGTTATGTTTTGCTGATGGTAACCTAATGGCACCAGTTAATATTTTAACACTCTGAAAAGGCATTGAGCCAGATTGTTTTTAATTCTTCAAAATACTCTCTGGGCTGCCTCTAAGGCAGGCTTTTTTTTTTTAAATATTTATTTATTTTTATTGAATTTGATGTATGACTTGTGACTCTGACTTATGGTGGAGGATGCCTCTGCTTGGAGTAACTTTCCATTTTGTCAGCCATGTGACGACTGGATAAAGGATCCAGGACTCTTAGCCTCCATTTGGGGCTCCACCTCTTAGTCAGAGGCATGCCCCTGAGTATCACATAGTTAGGCATTTCTCCAGTCTGGCTCCTCATTGAGGGTCTCCTTGCTTTCCCAGTGTCAAAATTAAACTGAGGTATGCATTTGTGTATTTATCCCTTGAAAAGCACCCTGTATCTGCATGGTCCACAGGTGCCCCAGGGGACTAGCTGAAGGGTGGTGGGTAACCAGGGAAGATCTCTGGTTCACCTCTCCATGTAGCTCCATGTGGGAGAGGCTGCACGAGGAATGGGATTTTCCCAAGCCAGGTGCTTCTCCAGCTGAGCCACATGTGTGGTAGGTGGAGCTGGAGGGGAGAGAGCTCTCCTATGGGAAGAGTGGGTGTAATGAGGACCAACGAAGGGGAAATAGACGCAAAGGGCACAAGAGGCATCTGGGAGCCTGCCAAGGGAAAGAAGTCCCTTCAGCATCTGCAGTTCAGTCTCTGGTAAACACAGGGAGGGGAAGGGCGGGGGGGGGGGTTCAGTGGCTTGTGACAGCCCGAGCATTTCCTCATCCTTCAGGAGCATAACTACTTAGGGGAGACATGCTGCTGACAGAATAGAGGAGCAAAGCCACATGCAGATTAGTTATGCATATACACATATACCTTAACAGAATTTAGAATAAGACTGAGTGGGAAGGAAGCAAAGCTTCCATGGAAGCCTATGATCCCTGGGACATCAGTCATATCTCTTTGCTGGTTTGGAAAACCAGGCACCTCATCCCAGCTATTCTGATTTTGCAAGTCCTCAGTAGGTCTGGGGCACCTTGATTTTGATACAAAGTTTTCTGGGTCATTGTTAGGCAAGGCTAGGCTCACACTCTCTGATAATATAGTTTGGTGAAGCATTTCTTTACCATGTAGAGCGCTCTGGTTTCAATCCCCAACACTATAAAGAAAATTTAATGTAGATTCTTATATACATATAAATACACACACACAGATACACACACACACAGATACACACACACACAGATACACACACACACACACACACACACACACACACACACACACACACACATTTTCTCTCTAGTTCCAGGACAGTCAAGGCTACACACAGAAACCCTGTCTCAAAAGAACAACAACAAAACAAAAGAAACAACAACAACAAAAAGTGTGCACTTATAAGTGTGCACTTCTGCATCCAGTCTTATGTAGGTTCTGGGGTCCTAGTAGAAGCTGTCACACTAGTTATCACCTACTAATTAAGCCATTTCCGCTTCCCTGAAGGCATGCTTCCTTGGCAGGGAACAGCACAGGAAGTGACATCATCACTCTCTTCTCAGCTGCTTCCTCCTTCTAAGGTGCGGTTTCCCCATCCCCTTTCACTAGTTCTGCATAGGGCCTCTCCTCTTGCCTCATGGCCAGCTGTCCTTGCAAAGCGAAAGCTCAGCTTGAGCAAGGCCAAGGTCAAGCACACCGTTGCTCTAGTGGCAGGAAAGCGAGTCATCTGGTGCAGAAGGAACCTTCTAGACTTGTGACCTGGTTTCTTGCTCAACTATAACATGGGCTTCCCTTTCATCAACCAAGGCTGTAGCCCAGCTCTCTTTGCTATGTAATCTTGGCTTTGGGGGAGGCAAAGACAGGAAAAGGGGAGGAGAGAAATTATGAAAATTTAAAGATGAGGAGCCAGTCCCTGGAGAGGAATGGCATAAAATGCATTACAGTCTCCCAAGGAACAGGGGATGAGGCAGGAAGATAAGCTATCTATAAGAATGGCATCTTGGTCTTTGGGAGGCAGAAAAGAGAGCTGAATAGCATAGAGCCAGAAAATTGAAATAAAATAAAAGTCCATACTTTCAACTTACAGGCAACAACCTGAAATCAGGTATTATTTCTATATCAGAGAAAAACAAAGTCAGTAAGGACTTATATTAAAAACAGGAAAGCTTGAGGAGGTCCCATTTATTAATTGTCAATCTCTGTGTCTGTGTTACTGGAGAAGTGGTCTCCTGTACCAATTTGTTCAAGGGTACCTCCCACTTTCTCTTCTACGAGGTTCAGTGTGGCTGGATTTATGTTGAGGTCTTTGATCCATTTTTATTTGAGTTTTGTGCATGACGATAGACTCCTCAAATTGAGAAGCTTCTGTAAGGCAAAGGACACAGTGGACAAGACCAAATGGCAGTCCACAGACTGGGAAAAGATCTTCACCAATCCTACATCTGACAGAGGGCTGATATTCAAAATATACTAAGAACTCAAGAAACTAGTCACCAAAACACCAAATAGCCCTATTAAAAAATGGGGTACAGAACTGAATAGAGAATTTTCAATAGAGGAAATAAAAAAGGCTGAAAGACACTTAAGAAAATGCTCAATATCCTTAGTTATCAGGGAAATACAAATCAAAACAACTCTGAGATACCATCTTACTCCTGCCAGAATGGCTAAAATTAGAAACACCAATGACAACTTATGCTGGAGAGGATGTGGAGAAAGGGGAACACTCCTCCACTGCTGGTGGGAGTGCAAACTTGTACAGCCACCTTGGAGATCAGTATGGCGATTCCTCAGGAAAATGGGAATCAGTCTACCACAGGACCCGGCAATCCTGCTCTTAGGCATATACCCAAATGTTCCACATCCATGCAACAAAGACATGTGTTCAACTATGTTTGTAGCAGCATTATTTGTGATAGCAAGAACCTGGAAGCAACCTAGATGCCCCTCAACTGAAGAATGGAAAAAAGAAGATGTGGCACATTTACACAATGGAATACTACTCTGCCAAAAAACAAAACAAAAACAAAACAAAACAAAAACCAACCAACCAAACAACAACAACAACAAAAAAAAAAAAAACCCAAAAAACAAACCAATGGAATCTTGAAATTCACAGGCAAATGGATGGAACTTGAAGTAACCATCCTGAATGAGGTAACCCAGTCACAAAAAGACAATCATGGTGTGTACTCACTCATATATGGATTTTAGACATAGAACAAAGGATCACCAGCCTATAATTGACACCGCCAGAGAAACTAGGATACAAGGAGGACCCTAAGAGATTTATATAAGGTCCCTCACAGAAGGGGGAAGGGCAAGATCTCCTGAGCATATTGGGAGTGGAGGGGGACAGTGAGTGGAGAGGGAGCTAGGAGAAAGAAGGGGAGGAGAGGAAAGCATGTAGGACTAGAAAGATTGAGTCAGGGAAGGAATAGACAAGAGGAGAGAGAGAGAGAGAGAGAGAGAGAGAGAGAGAGAGAGAGAGAGAGAGAGAGAGAGAGAGAGACCATAAAGAGGGAGCCATTATAGGTTTGAAGAGAAAACTGACTTTAGAGAAATGTCCAGAGACCTACAAGACTGACCCCATCTAACAATTTGAGCAACAGTGGAAAGGCTACCATAAATACCCCCTGATAATGAGACTGATGACTAACTTATCCACCATCATAGAGCCCTCATCTAGTAGCTGATGGATACAGAAGCAGACACCCACAACTAAACACTGAGCTGAACTGGAATCCAGGTGCAGAGAGGGAGGACAAGACCAGGCTACAGAAACCCACAGAGACAGCTGATCTGAACAAAGATGAGCTAATGGACCCCCAGACTGATAGCTGGGAATCTAGAATGGGACTGACTCAGATCCCCTGAACATGGGTCTCAGTTAGGAGGCCTGGGCAGTCTAAGGGACCTTGGACAGTGGAAACAGGATGTACCCCTGGTGCACAAAAGGACTTTGGGAGCACATTCCCCATGGAGGGATACTCCTTTAGCCTAGAGGCAGGAGGGAGGGCCTAGTCCGTACTCCAAATGACTTGACAGACATAGATGACCCCTCCTGGAAGGCATCACCCTACATGTGGAGTGCGGGGGGTGAGGTGGGGGGAGGATGGGAGGGAAGGGCGGTCAGGGGGCATGGGAGGGTGGAAGAGAGGGAAAGAGGGAGGGAAAGGGAACTGGGGAACTGGACTGATATATAAAATAAAAACAAACAAAACAAACAAACAAAAACAGGAAAGCTTACTTTAAAAATGTAGGAATCGTTTTTATTAGTGTGCAGGGTGTGTAAGTCCGAGTGAAGGACCACACATGGAATGCTTTGCTGTAAACTTTCAAAAATTTTGAAATGAATAGTAGGGGCTGGAGATGGCTGGGTGGTTAAAAGCGCTTCTACAGGCTCCAGTTCAGCTCCTGACATTCACACTGGGTGACTCCCAAGTATGTGTAACTCCAGTTCTGAGGGATATGATGCCCTCTTCTGGCCTCCTTGGGCTCCCATACACATAGTAGATAACACAGACATATGTACATAACTAAAAAGAAATCTTTAAAAACCCACCTAGATAGTGGTTATGGTACAACAGTTCTTCACATACACAAAAGTCATAGTTATTAACATTAACAATGGGTTAATTTTAACAACTGACTGATTTTTTTTCCCATGCTGGGGACTGAAATGACATCTCATGTATGTTAAGTGAGTGCTCTACCACTGAGCAGCCTCAGACCTCCTTTTACCTTTTAAATCTTCCAGAAAGGGTCTGTCTAAATTGCCCAGGCTGACCTTGAACTTACTCTGTGGTCCAAGCAGGTTTAAGCTTGCTTGGCAACCCAAGTACCTAAGATTTTAGGACTGTACCA